TTCCGATTAACTGATCTTAATGTTGAGTCGTTTTGATTTTGCTTCCAGATCTTGAAAGACTTAGCACGTTTTTTCCATACTTCCACTTCTTTACAAAATAGCCAAAAGTAGATTTTGGAAATCCAAACTTGGTGACGATAAGAGAATATAAAACTTTTATTTTCGTTTTATTTATTATTCAAAGATAAGTAGTCAAAGAAGTGCTTTTTCTTGTTTTCTTACTGCAACTATTTTATTTTATTTTATAACCGTCGTTGAACAGCCGACCCAATTTCATGGATTCACGATTACCAATGGTCAGCTCCGGAGACCTGTAATTTTGAACCCAATCCAGAAGACAAGAAAACTCCTGAATCTTGTACTGGGAGAAATGAGCTTTAGTTGAGGACTTTTTTTCATGGAGCTAAACCGCATTTTGCGTTACATAGGGAGGAAGACCACGAGAACCTCCTACCGTTAGCCTGACAACAACTCTAATCCATGATCCGTCTACCAATGAGGATATTTCACGTCAGCACTGTGGTCGAATTCGTATCAACTGGGATTCGAACCCGGTTCGCCTCATTGGAAGGCGAACGCTCCTGAGCCATCGCGTCTCATACTTAGGCTATTAAAATAAACACCAATATGTTCACTTAAAAAATGCCTTTAGAATTAAGCAAATGAATTTCACACGCAATGACGAGGCTGTAAGTTAATTTCCGCACGCCAATTCATTTGAATAATCCCCCAGCTTTGTCCCGTTGATACAAAATTTTTGTTAAACGTATTTTTCATGCTTACTTTTTTCATTATTTTGTATTAACTTAGGTCAAAATAAGGGGGAAATATTATATTTAGTACTATAGTTATCCATATTAATGAAGTTCAGCATTAAACACTGTATCATCTGCGTCATAGGTGAAATGCAAGCACTGAGAAAAAAATTATGATCAAAACTAACAGACTGTGGTAACGTTTATTGTGTTTCTGACTTTATGAGAAAGTTCGGAAATTTTTATCTAAGCTCTTTTGAAATGATTTTGATGAAATTAACAATAAAATGTGGTTTTATAATATATGATGAAGTTCGGAAAATGGGCTAAATTTTGATAATTTCATCATGGCGGCATAGAATATGGCATAGAAACCATTTATTCGGTTAAATATACTCCTCAGTTTCGCATTTTCTACAAAATTTGTGGTAATAGAACTATAATTTTGAAAATCAGAATTTCGGTAAACAGCTACCCTATGAAAGGAAAAATTACTAAATGAGCGGTTTAAATACCCTAAATTATGGCAGTATTATGTTGTTTTTTTTTTTACCAAAAATATCATTACCATATAGTAAGGTAATTTTTCCAAAACTTTTTCAATAAAGTATCGCATATTCTAGAATCTTCTAGGAAAGTATGAATATTGCGTAAAGATAGCGAAAGTATAAAACAATTTTGGTTACAGTTCGTATAGAAAGAAAATAACGAAATCATTATTTAAAAAGTAGGAACTTGACTCAAACCCACATCTTGCGTGCAGAGTTCCTCTGCTGTAACTACTAAGCTGTAGGAGAACTTTTGGGTAAGAAATTATCACATATATTTAAGCTAAGTATTGAAATCATGAACAGTGTCAGCAGATCTGGTCTCAACTTTTTCAATCTTTCAGATTCATGTCCGGTGTGTGCTAAATTAAGAATATCCAAGATTATTATTAGGTTGTCCCCATGTAGGAAGGCTAAAGCTAACAATACTATTTTGCATCATTAAGAAATTTTGCTTACTTAAGAAGATTAAACAGAAAAACTTAGTCTCAAAACTTTCGTTCCCTACAGCTAAAGCAGTAGCACTCACAAATACTTCCTTTGTATGACATGGAATTAGTAAAACTCTATTAGTAAAACTAAAGCGTTTAGGGAAACAAATATAATAAATTTACAAAGAGCACAACTTTTATTCAGAGCTCTTGCAAGTGTCCTATATGAGAATTATTGATAAGACAACATAAAACTATATGACATTCTCGTTCCTGCTAGACTCTATTCACCATAGAATTTTCAACATCGACAGTACCAGTGATTTTTATTGAGTTATTTTAAATCGAATGATAAAGGATAAATAAAAAAATATCTTTCGCTTATCCCCACACAACTTAAATAACCATACGTATTGAAAATGCAATGAAAAATACAGCTTGGTAGCAATAGGTATGTATGCTATTTAATCAAGAATTCTTTGATAGAACTCCTGAAATATTAATTTTTGCTGCAATTGTCTAATATTTCTTGTAATACTATGCTCTTCTGAAATTACAGAGAAAAATATGAATCATCCTATTTTTTAAGAATAAAACCATATAAAACAATTTTGATCATAGGTGTTCTTTTTTCTCAAAAAATGAGAAAAAAGGCATTTTGAGTACTTAGTCACAAATCTAGCTCTTTTACGCCTCGTTAATATAATTATATTTTTTGATGAAACGAGAGTGGTTTGAACAACATCATTCATTGTAAAAAGTGTCTATTATTTATAGATATCTCTTTACCATACAAAATATGACATTGGATTGAGTTATTTATTTTGGAAACATTAAAATATCTACGTAAGATTCGAAAAAAGCTAATAGTAAAATCAAGATTAAACTGATCTGAGTTTTGATTTTAATCAGTTACCTGTTATACATTTTGCTAAACTTAAGGCCTACTACACACTGAAGAAAAAGCAGTAAGAAAAAGGCATTAGGTAACACTTTTGCGTAAGGTTGCGTACTGTTTGTCTAAGATAGGTACTCTGCCTGACATTCGTCTGGATCTGTGGCGGTGACTATGGCAACGAGGTATGATTATTTTACTAGGACTGGTTTTGGCAAGAGAAAAAGAGACCTCTTCATCGAAGCTACCCTCCCTAAAATGCGCTCTTCTTGTTTCCATAGCTCCAGACTGCCGCAGACTTAGTGGCGGTCAGAGTACCTATCTTAGACAAATAGTAGAGGTAAACTGTGCAAGCTAGTGCAGAAGTACGGGAATCTGCCTCTAAGGCGCGAAGAAGAAATGTAGAAGCATAAGTTTTGTATTATTTAGTGAAATGTTTCAATCATCTGGAACAAACTCGTCCTAATTCATGTATCAAACATTTTCAAAGCCTCGAAATTTATTAACTATGGTTGCTAGTTATGATTGAATATATATGCTAAAATTACTTCAAGTAGATTTGAAGATTATATTATTGGATGAGAGTAAATTCTTAAAAAATGCGCAGACTATATTCATACAGTATACAAATGGTAGTTACATATTTCTCAAATCGTACCACCCGAAGCTTCCATTGTTAACAATTTGGTCAAAGTGATAAAAATTTTGCTCTTACTTAAGTTTCATAAAAAAATAAAACTTTTTTTTAAATTATTTTCCTATTTGTGTAATGTTTCATCAACGTTTTGAAATTTGTAGGTGAATTATTTTATAATTTTTTTTCTTAAATAAATGTTATTCTGTCTTATTGTCTTAAAAATATTTTCTATTAAAAAACTTGTACTAATTTTTTTTTAAAATTACAAAATTAAAAGGCACCAAGAAGGAGTCTTCAAAATGAAACAAAATTTTGCATACGTAATGACTACTTTGATACAAGTAAATGATTAGAAAACCAAAGAAAAACGATAATCTTTGATTTTTCTAATCATTTACTTACATCAAAGTAGTCATTATGTATGTAAATTTTCGTTTCATTTTGACGACTCCTTCTTGGTGCGCTAATTTTTTTCTCCATAAGTGCATATCATTGCATAAAATTTCGTGCTGCTTAACTATTTATATTTAATTTAAATCTATCGAAACATTATTTTCAATGTTCTTTGTACTGCATTTAACTTCTGTAAACAATTTCAAAACACATATTACTAATTCAAACTTATCTAACACAAAATAGGTTTTCTAAATAGCAGCATTTACTTTAAACATAATCTTGAACTCAAACTGCCCTTTCCAAAAATGCGTTTGCAGTTTTATTTACTTATTTATTTATTTTGCTTTGTGATCTAACTAAACTGAACCCTTAAGAGGGAGATTTGACCAACATGCTTCTTCTTGAGTGAGTATAAATTTTTCATAAGAGGAGGAAATGTACTAGCAAAATAATAAAGTATAAAGTCTGGATCTTTTGATATCACTCGAAAGCATGGATGGCGTAAACATGTGTGCCACAGTACGCCCCCCAGAAACTTTAACACTGACACGCGAAAATTTATTAAGGTATTAAAAATAACAATATGTAAATATTTACGGACTAGTGTGAATAGTAACGTAAAAATTCCTTAAGACTAAATTTCTCTCTTGAAATTTATATTTAAATCTGACGCAACTGAATCGCCAGAAAAATGGCTCTGCTGACGCCAGTACAATGAAGCCTGGTCATGGGTCAAGTCCAATGGTTTTAATAGTCTTTTGTTTTGCTATAGGTGTTCACAATCATGCAAGTGACGCAATCTGGAAGTGTGCTTCAGTTGGTTTTAAACTACCAAACAAAAAATAAAAGAAAATCAAAAAATCTTAGTTCAGATACTTTTAATCATATGTTTTTTAACAATTCTCACTATTATGACTTACATAAATAAACTGTTCAGAAGATATCCCATAATTAACCTATAAGTAACCTTTTTTCACATTCTGTATTTTATAGTTTGTTAGATGAGTTGAGAAGTGACACGGATATTGTTTTGTTCTCAGATAAGGGTAGTCTTTCTTAAAAAATTAGACACTTCTGTAATACGTAATAATTTCATAAAAACATTATATTGGGTTATGATTTTTGTGCCTGGTATTTTAACCGTAATTGATACTCCCACTACATTTCCATATTTCATGTAGTTTCAGAAAATAAGTAGTAAGTTTTTCTTAATTAATGTCGATTAAATATTGTTAAGAACAATTTTCTGTATTTTCTAAATTTTTTATTAGATAAATTATTACACATACTATTTATCCCCTTAAATAGTTAAAGCAATATACATAGTACACACACACATACAAATTGGAATTTTTTATTACAGTTTATTGTTACATTATGTATTTCACGTAAGGTTCTTGAAAAACCGCTTGGACTGTGAAACACCACCTGTTAAAGTACAAAATATATTTATACATTTTATACAATTATATAATTTATTAATATTTTTGAATCTTTAGAATTTACTATTGTTTTGCGAAACTAAGATATTATCATAAAAAATTCAGTTAAGTTATACAATTAAACAATTCAATTTTTTTAATATGATTTTGAAAAAAATCTCTTGTTACTTTACTTTATTATGTCGAACTTTTATATTTTTTGCTATGTTTTTATAATGTATGTTATCATTAAGATAATCCCATGATCTTGTAACTCGTTTGGAAACAATTTATATATAACGTATTAAATTTCTCCAGAAACCAGACAGATAAAACACAATGAATTATATTGGTAATAGAAATATAAAACTTTTATTTCATATTTATCCCATACTTTATTTTATCCCATAGTAGCTCACTATAGGATATGATATAAAAGCACATTAGATGTGGTGTACATTTTCGCCGTTCGTAAGTTAAGGTATGTGACCAGATCTGTGGTAGACTTGCTTATTTTTCCAGGTTTCGGGTAGTTTTTTTTAAGGTTTCCCTGAACATAAAATGTTGAAGTTAATTTCCTAGAAATTAGTGATATAATTATTACTTCGTTCGAAGTAGGCTTGGTATTAATGCCTGCTGTATCTTTTAATGAATGCGACCGTTAGCTAGCGTCGACTGTTATAACACAGTTCAAAAGTACTGTTTGGATCATGCATTACGATAAGAAATTGTATTCAAAGGATTATCAAACCTTTTTAGTAACAATATTTCATTTCAAAGCTGTTATTTAATTTTTTATCTTTCTTTCAAAAATTATGGGATTAGAAAATGGAAGTCAAATAATAACACTGCGCGTGATGAAGAAATTTGTAGAGAGAAGTATTACACTTTAGTTCAGAGCAGTTTAATTATAACAATTTTTGTTATGAGATTAAAATTGAAGTCAATCGCTGCATTTAATAAAACATTGATATTTTGATAGTGTGTTAATGTGGCAGATGGATGTGAAAAACGGAGATTTAATCAAATCCTTTGACTAGTTGATGATTCATGCAAAATGTTAAAATAACAATTCTACGGGATGTTTCCTTAAAGAAAGTAAGTGATTTGATCCTTTACTGTTTTAGTAAAAAGGTGAAATTAAATTGGTAAAAAGATGAATTAGATGAAGTCAGGGTTCACACAGGCATTCTTACCATTGCCTTTAACTTCCTTCAGATAAATAAAAATATTAGTGTATGAAGTACGACTATTTATAATAATCGTTGTTTATTACTTTTAATAATTGGATTAATCATGGGAAGTCCGGTAAACTCTGCACGGATGTGTTTTAAGACTAAGTGCCCGGAACTACTATTTTTTGTATTTTTTAGGTTAAGTTCTCCTGCCCGATATACATTTTCCCGGTGTACCCTACACTGACGTTTTTTTCAGGGTTAAAGTCACTGTTTGGTATAAATTTAATTTTATCTGATTTATTTGGTATGGTATCGACTTACTTACTACTACTATTGTTATTACAATTAGCGGCGGTTTTTAATATTAACCGATTAATTACATTGACTAATGACATGTCATATTTTCACTATGGCAGTTGGGGGATTTGATCACTTACTTTCTTTGAGAAAATCATCCCATCTCACGGAATTGTTGCTGTTTTAGCATGTTGAGTGGATTGATCATCTGACTTAGAGATCTGATCAAAACTCTAAGCTGGATTAATAGAAGTTAATTGACTAGTAAAACGAAATGCGAACAACCAACATTATAGATCCTTACAACGATTTAAAGCTCAGGAGAGTAACTTATACTTTTTACTTTGAATTTACACTAATTGTTATGAACCGTTGAACATTCGGAAACTGACTAACTGGCATTCCGAGTATTAATGGCCTAAAAGTTTAGGTATTAAATTTTCTTCAAAGAAATGTTTGTTCTACAAAGTCTGAATTTATTTATGAGAGGAAAAATATGATATTTTTAATTGTATATATATCTAACCTTTTATTTTAAAAATATTTTTTGCGATTTTCATGTAATTAAAATACTACCTTACCTTTGGTAGAATTTCAACCTGTAAAATTATTAAACGTTAATTCGACAAAATAAAAAAGAATACAATGGCAAATATATTAATTTATTTTCTATTTATAAGAATATATAAAAAGCTTAAAAAAGATGTTTCCTGTCAAGTACTATAATTAAATATAGTTTCTTTAGTTCATCAGTTTCTTCCTTCACTAAATCCAAATTATTTAAATGATTATACCTAAGAGCCCTTCTATTCCAATGTTACTGTTTAAGTATTTTAGTTTTTACAAAAAAGCATTTATCGAATCTTGGGGTGGTCACAATATTTCCTCCAGAAAACCCCTCTGTAACTACGGATTTTCTCGGGCAAGTAACTAATATAGTGAATGACTTTTCATCAGTTATAATATTTAATAAAAGAAATGATAAACGTATACTTCTGAAGATGTTAATCGATCACTGAAAAATATTCTTTTATTTAAATTGAAGCAATAAGTAAATTTTTGGAAATAAATAATTTATTATTCGGTTTAAAAAAAATTCCTTATATTTGTCCTAAAATGTGCAAAGTTTTTTTTTAAATAGCTGAAATATAAAGGCACTGAAAGACTAATTGCTTGTGAGTTATAACAGATTACTATATTTTACGAAACAAATTAAGTTATAAAACAATTATTATAATTAAATTAATAAACTGATTATTATAATTTTTAAAGTGTTTCTATGATTAGCCATATTTACATTTGTATGATTATCAGAGTCACCAATTAAATATAACTGTACGAAAAATATTCTCTTACGGATTTGTAACAAATCAATGTCATTTTTTTAATTTTTTAACTAAGTGTTTGTTACTTTGAAGCTGCCCGTAAGATTAAATTAATCTAATTCATTGCTGAGTCATAGTGTATGGAAATAAAAGAACTTAAAACAGTTTAACTCTTGCATAATACAATGTATTATTTAGTTCAATGTATTATTAGTTATTTTTAATGTTTATTTGCAGTTGAGTCATACTTATAATTTTTTATTTGGTGCAAATTATACTATGACACTCAAAATGAGTTATTCAATAAATTTCACATCTATATATCAAAGCGAAAAAATAGAAGGAAAATTAGAAAAAAAATTCAAAAAAATATTATCCTAAAAATATTTTTATAAAATAAGTTTACTTACAGAACTTTTCTGGACCCACTAGAAAAGAAGACATTTTGAATTAGAACAATATTAATTTTTTAAAAAATGCTTTTATAATGATTGACTTTGCTTCGTTTTCAAAATTACCAGTTTCTTATCAAACATAAAATCTGTTCATTTTTTTAATGATTAAGACAGCATTTTCCTATCTTTTCAATTATTTTTATGTTACAGAGTGCCACATTCTTTGAATATAAGTTTAAAAAAAAGTTATATGTTAATTTTTTTTACTTGTCCAGTTTAGTTTTCATTATAGTTATATGAAAACTATGAGGATGCGTGCCAAACCTTCAGATTCACAGAAAACGTTATCTTATCGATGCAATGAATTCACAGATAAGAAATGGGTTTTAAGTTATTTACATCTTTGTACAAACATAACTATTAACAACATAACTATAACAACATTATACTAACTATTAACAACATCAAAACTCCTCTGACCGACGTACGCGGCTTTTCAAATACTTTTATCTTTATTGCTGTCAAACTAATTTGTGGCCCCTTCATTCACACAAAAGTGTGAAAAACTAACTTATTAGCTGTAAATGGAGTAACAATATAAGCATATATTTAATAAAAATCACTTTAATTTTTTTAGTTTATTTTTAAATATATCTATGAACTATATTTCAGTTCTTAATAAGATTCGATTCATTTAACTAATTCCCATTTGCAGTTCAAGCAATTTCTTAAAAAATTACTTAATGTTTGATATTTTACCATATTTTGGTAGCTTCAATCTCATATTATGATGGTTTTCACTATAATACTTGATTTAGTATAGAAATCACAGTGAATGCATCATTTATACACTATAAATAAACCTACACAATTCTTCATAATTTAAATTTCAGAAGCCCTCTATTCAAATAAATACCAGACTACTTTCCGATATATTTCTAAAGGTTGTCGTTAATTTTATTGATCTCTCTTGCTTTAATTTTAGAACACCTTGTCTAAAAGTATTTTGATTTTATAGATTACACACTATTTATTACAAAAGTAGTGATACCGTACATACAAAAATTTAAATAAAAAGTGCCTAAAATATGTTTTCTACTTTTTAATTTTATGTAAATGTGATGTAAAAAAAAAATCACTGTTACTTACTGTTCATGTAAAAGCCTTGAAAAAACAAAATAAATTGTTAAAATATAAATTTAAAATAAATTGTTTTTTTTTTCATGTTTCCTAATGTTACAGACTTCACAGATGTAAATTAGAATTTAATACTCTATTTATTTCGGTACTTTGCTAAATTTAAATCTGTGTCAATAAATACTATTAGAATACATATACCTACCACACTAAACACTATGTGTTAGTTACGATTAGCAATGTAAAATCATCTTTTGAAATTTTTTGAAATTATAAATCCCTACCTCAGTTATAAAAAGCATACATAATTCGAAATCAAATCATTTTCAACTACCAATATTTAGTACTATAATCATAATAATTTAGGAAACCTTCAAATAATAATTAACAACAAAATAATATCCAACTTACGGAGGAGTAGTAAATCTAAAAAGTTCAATTAATTCATTACAATTGTGATTTATAATTGCACTCATAACAGCAAATGAAATAAATAACGATGTTGACATTTTATAAGAAAGCATGGTCAATTAAATGTAGTATTTTTAGTTAAAAGGTTAGAAAATTATTATCCTAAATGTAAAATTATCTCTTTGTGATTAAACAATACAAACATAACCAGTGTTGAAAGAATATATGTTATTTATTATAAACAATAATGCTTTAATTTATTTTCCTTATTTATTTTTTTTACTTTAATTTCAAACCAAATTCTGAAACATTTTTGAATTATATCATTTGATTTTGATCAGCTTTAATTAATTTAGCATGCCACTGTTTTATAATTCGTTTTATTTATAGCCGGGGTTGAATAATTGACCCAATTCTGAGTTCACGACTATCACTATTCAACTCCTTGGCCTTATAATTTTGAGTTCAATTCAGGAAGACAATGGAACTCCTTGATCAAGCATTAAACTCGTAATCCTCCAGATAGCACACAAGCACTCGTGGATGACTTTTTGATGAAACTAACCAGCAATTACGTTACAAGGAGAAGAAATCCACGAAAATTTCCCACGGTTATTTCGACGGCAAGGGTATTCTAACCTATGATCCGTTTCCCACTGAGGGTATTTTTACAAGAACTCTTGTCGGTCTGAATCCATAACAGCCAGTCACTGTGACCCAGCCAACGTTTTATATCAACTATTAAAAAGGTATGTTTGCTGGTAACATATCTTTCAGCGTATGTTCAATGTTTCTCTGTAACGTTTGCTGGTTAGATTTTTTAAAGGCATATTGATTTTGTAAAAACATTACTGCCTTAGAAATAATTAACATTGCTAAAGATTGCAATATATTCTAGAAATATTTCTAAATGAAACGTATTTCAATGAGATTTTTAAAAACTAGGTTGCTACACAGATGTATGAATATAATGTGTCAAAAATATAAAATAGATATTTACCAATGGGTGGAACTAAAGAAAAAAGAATAAATGTACTTAAATTGATCTACGCAGGCAGTTGAGAAATTTCTTAGTTAGTTGTTATCAAATGCAATAAAATTATTGAGCTGAAAAATATCAAATAATTTCTTGAAGCAACAAACTTAAATTTATAAAATGTCGGGCTCCATAATTGATAAATGTCGGCTCTAAATTTATTTAAAAATTTATGAACATTATTTTGAAATTATCGTTCACTAAAAAAGTTCAAAGTATCTAATTACTGAATAAGGATATTACATCAGCAATTTTTGAAGACAAAAAATTTAAAATAATAAAACTACTTACTAAATAATAACAATTAAAGAATTTATCACATGCAAAAGTTTGAAGTATGAAGTTGCAAAAATACTTCTTATGGAAAATTTAGCTATTTTTCTTCATGTTAAGATATATATTATCCTGTATATTGGAAAGAAGCTGCAATATTACTGTTTTCGATGCGGTAAAGTTCATAAAGTTTCAACGCCTTATTTTACAGAATTATAATGTCATTAATTGTTTTAATGGTGTCTTTTGTTCTGAAACTGACTTCAGAAATAATTATAAAACTCCTTAAAGCAAAAGTAATTTTATAAAACAAAGTAAGCATAAAAATATCAAAAATCTTTACTTTTGTATTAATATGTTTTTATGTGTTTTTTCATTTTGAAAAACCTCTACAGATTTATTTCAAAATTTCAAATTTTTATTATAAAAACTTATAACAAGAATCTATTTTGATTGTAGCATGTATTTTGGGTTTTAAGTATTTTATTGTCTTGTCTTTAATTTAATGTGCACTCTTTATTATAAATATGTTACTTAGGTTGAGATATCATACATTAAAATTTTTATTTCTTATGTGTTCTTGCCTTTCCTTAAATTTCTTTAAAATGGTTTCAATATGAATTGTATTGGATTTTTATGAATTATATTGGATTCCATTATTTTAAAATTTATAAATTCATGAAATTTTAAAATTTAACTTTTTTTTGCTCACAAACCTAAATTTAAAATGACGACATCCTTTCAAGAAATTGCTTTGTTTTCAAAATTTTTGAGTAATTATAATTGTTAACGATACAATTCAGTACACTTCAAATATATCGAGATACTTTCTGTTAACTAATTTTAATAACCATTAACAAATGAAGAGAAACTTACTTTATTACAAAATATTTTAAATTCATAAGAAAGTGCAGTTTATTTAACTGTTCGTCATGAAACTTACGAAATGAATGATTTTGAGAAGTTAATGTTACACAAATTGTGTCACTACTTTAAATTACTTTTATTATGAAGCATATCTTTATAAACGCCTTTTTAATATTATTAATGACTAAAACAAATTGTTCTTTATTTAAACATTTCAGAAGTAAGTAAACGGAATTCAAATAAATAAAATGTTTTAATCAGTTTCTTATATTCATAGGAAACTGTTTAAAACAGTTTATGTTGTTTTTGTTTTAAATTATAAGAAAGTTTACTTAATGATTCTTACCTCCAGTTAAAAATCCACCTGTAAGATTATAAATTTTTTGTAAAATATAATCTTTATCACATTATTTTTGTAATACAATAAAAAAATTAAATTAAATGTGATTGGAAATCAGGCATAAAATCAGAAATGAATGATCAACCTAATATTCTAATTTTCGAGAAACCTAAATCAAACACCCAAACCAATTTATAACAATTGGTATCGTGGTTATATTAATGTAGTTATCTTTTGTAAAAACAAAGGTATAATAATCAATTAAGTAAATATATATATANTATATATATATATATATAGTAACAAATCTATACTAAAAAAGAGTTTGATATCGCTACAGAACAATAGTAATGATATACGATTTTCAAAAAAAAGCATTGATGCTTTTACGACATCAATGTTTCCTTAATAAGAAGATTTTTTTAATAAAACTTCCTTTTTTGGAATAACAAAACCTTGTCAAGAGATTATGTGATTGAAAAAATTTCTAATAAAAATCCCTCTCAAAGAATATTTGGTGCCACAAAGTACAGTTCTATAGCTTTACATTTCTCTGAACGATTGCATTTCTGTACGAATATCTTAAATAATAAATTTAATTTTATTAACGTTTTTAATTTTAATTTTGAATTTTCTGTTCTTAAAATTTCATAAAAATAGAAGAAGCTTGATTTCAATTTGCGCTCTTAAAACAATATAAAAATAGAAATAAATCTTACCAGCAGCAACATAGTCTAAAAATATTACATTATTGTTATAATATACAAAGTACGACATTTTCTGACAGTTTGCATACCATAAAGAAGTAAAGAATTGTAATACTATTAAAACTCTTATGACTATCTTCCACTGCCCATATTATAATAGTACATTTGTTGTTCCTTATTCAACTACCAATTGAAAACCATTGTTTTCAATAAACGTTGCTGACAAGTTGATTACTGTAATACCGCATATTTTACTACAATCAGAGTAAAACTTTCTAACACAATTATTAAAAAGAACTCTGTAAAAAATCTCATTAGTTAATCAAAAAATTACATAATTAAAAATCAACTGTAACTTTTAAAATTTTAAACAGATATAACTAAAAAATAATCGATCCGAAAAAACGGAGAACATTAGTAAAAACTGCTTAATGCTTTGCAATACATTTTCAGAAATCTAATTTATTTAATTTTGCAGTTTTTTAAACTGCGAAAAGGAAACAGGTTTATGTATAATTATATTTGCGAAAACTTTCAATTTAATAAAATGCCCTTTTTAAATTAGGAAAATAATCGTGATAAGTTAATGAGATATTATTGCTATTATTTGTAAAAGTTGTTTTTATTGCAAATATATATTGAGATTATTAATTGGCAAAAATACTTATAAACTATTATAAAAATAATAAACTTCAATAATGAAGATAAATTGCAACTTATTGAAAGCATCCTTATGCAAAAATAAACAAGAAATCATAAAAAAAAATATTTTTACTTACTAAATACAGTATTGACTGAAAATGAAATAAGAATATGAGGAGAAGAGAATAACTATAACAATTTCAAGAATCAAGTGAATATATAGGTAACTAGTTTTATTGTAACCAGTATTTCAAAATTCTACTAAATATATGTATATTAGTTTATATAGATATATATATCTATTAAAGTGGGACCCGGTTTTATATTGTGAATTTCCACGTTATCACGCTGCGTACGGCATTTTCTGCTTGTCCGTGAAAATTGCCTAAACGAACATTGCTCAATTATCCCTGTTTTTACGTTACCCTTTTAAGAATATCTCTCCTTGTGCGCTTTTCTTAGAGATCAAATTCATTCTTTCTTTATAAAGCTCGCACAAACTTTTATCGAGTTCATTCAGAGACTTGTTAATTATATGTCGTCCTTGTGTTTGTGAGAGGAAACTTTCTCTTGAGTCGAATTCAAAAGGGTTTTGGGATGGAGAAAGCAAGGGAAGAGTGGTTAGTTTGCTACGAAGTTGAAATTCTAAATTTTGTGAACCGAATTTTCTCCAGCAAACCTTTGAGCTCAGAAATAATTCAATAATTGAAAGAAAGTTACACTAAACAACTGGTTCGGTAATGATTCCTTTTTCTTGATTTCGGTAACATGCAAGATGCTTCTACGTCGAGTAAGATAATAGTAATGGGTTTAATAAAGAAGGTTTCTCTGTGTTCAATGAGAATATTAGCTTTTCGGAATAGTATTGCGTGGCTGAAAATTTCTCGAATTCGATGACGCGTATATCGACTGCACTTTTATTGACACGACCATTACTTTTCAATTCCTTCAATATCTTATTTAACTCCTGCTTCCGAAAATAGTGATGAAAACTATGAAGATGAGTAAAAAATATAGGACGATATATCCATAACTGATCAAGAGTTGCAGATCATGAAGCTCTGAAACAATATTTGTTTGCAAATCTAAACCAAAATGTAAGTTCGTAAATTTGCAAACAATAATAAGTATTAAGTGAAATATTTTTGAAATTGAATCTAAAAAAAAAACAATAAAGAGTACACATTTCTTCTAATACTTCATCTGGTACGTGTCCATCTTTGAAAAATATGCTCATATTTCTTTCTCCGATTTCACTTTTGTCCGCTTTGTGCGTTTTTTAAAGCCAGTCTGACGGAAAATGTAAAATCAGTGTTCCACTATAATCAAATGATATATTTTTATTTATTTATTTTTTATTTTATTTTTTCTTTGAGGAAAAGTAGTTATTGTTTATTAGATAAAATATGCTCTAATTTCAAAGCTATTACTTTCTATTATAAATTTTAAATAATATATATCGCATAGCAATAAAAATTTACTTATTTCATTTTATTAAATAACTTTTTAAATACTACGAATTAAAAAAATGTATAATAGCTGAAAATTTTACTTAATTATTAGAGTTTACTGGTTTAAATGAAATAGGATTTTAAATTAGGAAGTGAATGAATTTATAACTGAATCTCATATTTGATAAGATTTTCTTACAGGATAAAACCGTTAGAAATGCAAGCTTTTGTGAGACATTTTGAATTTCTCTTTAATGTATTTTAATATTTTTTGTGCTCGCTAATAATATTTAACATATATTTAAACAAGTAAAGTCTAAATTTTTTCTCCATATAATTATGTTTCCCAAAATTTCAAATGATTTTATACATTACTTCTACCATTTGACTGAATTTCATTTTTCATTTTTCAATAGTTTAGAAATAATATTCATTTAGGAATTCCATGATTTTTGTGTCATTTTTTAAGTTATTTTTAGTCACATGAATCATTAGAACACTCACAAAAGATAGAATTTTTGTTTCAAATTTAAATGAAAAAAAAACGAAAAACTAAGTTTTTCTAAATTCAAAGTCATAAATAATATTTTTAACCTTATGATCTAGACACATGTGTATAAAATAAAAACATGGGACTTACGAGCATTGTTGACTGAAAAATGTTAAAATGCATATGTTAATACCAAAGAAGGTGTAAGAAATATCATAATATTCTTAAAATTAAATACATTTATAAGTTTTAAAACACTTTGGTTTTCTTTTTTATGAATTATAAAAGTGCATTTTTTTATTTTATTGGTTTTAATATAAAATATCTAATACTATAAGAAAATCGGAAGATACCATATTTATGCATGTATAAACCCTACATATTTATGCCATATATATTCAGGCTGCGCGATAAAGATCGTGAATTATACTAAGCTGGTATAAGAGTTAAAAGAAATAAAGGAATGCAAGCTGTGAACAGCTTTTTCAATAATAATATACACAAGTTTCGCCACCCTTGCCTAGTGACTGTTTCGATGGGGAGACAAATTTTGTTACAAGTTATTAACAAAGGAAAGAAAATTTGAGGAAAACATGTTAACAACTATTATTTCTACATATATTTATGTTTCTTTATACTTAAACTGTTATTTTACATTTTTAAACGTATCGTAACTCTTCTGTTAAGCAATTATAAAACAAACTACCATTAGGTAATGTTAGTTCTAAAAAAAACTCGATTAATTGAAATTATTGAAGAATTCGCTAACTTATATTTCGAAACTATTTTTCAAAGAGAGATTTTTTCATTTTTTAATTCTATAAATCAAACCTAACAGTTTTATATTTCTAATTTCTTTTAATAAATATTTTACCATACCCAAAAATATTGATATATTTTTACTATTCCATATTGAAGAATAAATAAACTGTAAATAATTAGGCATTAAATAATACACACCTCGTTTGTTGCTACCACCTATAATAAAAAAGAACCATTATAATTTAAGTTCAGTAAACGCATTTTTTCATGTAAATATATTAATTATTATTTCATTCTTCACATATATTTACATAATTATAAATCATGTAAATATATGTAAAGAATGAAGGAAAATTCTTATCAAATAGAACCACTGCAAAATTGCTTAGATTATTTTTTTCAAATATTTACCTTAATTGCAAATACTTTCTTAAATATTTACAATTACTACAAGCGGGCTAAAAATAAACGCATTTTTTTAAAATAAAAATGTGAGCATTTCTGTTTTAAATTTATTTTACTCAAAGTTCGTTGCATAAAGAATGAGGAAAAGTATCAAACTGTCGTATTGCAATCGGCAAAATATCGAAACTGAAAATACTTTGAGCAATACGTAAATATATATATTTTAATTTCATCCTGATATTTGATTTATCAATCAAAATTCTTGCAGTCGAATACAAAAAGAGATATCTCCAGAGGTGGTTCGCACTTTATCATGGAATATGATGAAGTGTGAGCCTATTAAAGAGAAAGACAGAGATGCTTGATATTCATGTCAGCAAGTTCTTTACACAAAAGGCAATTAAGAGAGTCAGCAGGTTTGATATCGTTTTGATGTGCCTGTAGAAAACCGTGTCCAATTTGTAACCGGAAGCACAAAACCCTGATAGCCCTAGGACACATGATGCTAAGAAGTTCTCCCAAGAGGCACGAAATTCTCGTTTTCCAATCGTGATTTTCCAATCTAACGGCATTTAACAGCCTCCTCTCCTGTTAGAAATTTTCTTCGAAAGAAATTAAAAAAACTTGATTATTTATTCATTTTTTGCTTATTAATTTTTTTACATTTAAGTATATAATTTAAAGGAAATAAAAGCTTGCATTACGAAAGAGACCGACTGAGCCAAGATAGAAATCTCTAAAAAAAGGGTGAATGAGTCGTTAAAAGTCGCTGGATAGCAAATTAGCCTCCCGGTAAGAAGCTGAATTCGGATTTTGAGGAGGTGACTTCAATTGTTTTATTAGAAATGTACTGTTTCTCAGATTAACAGGGGAATCAATAGGATCAAACAGCGAAGTCTCGTTTTTAAAGTTATCTGCTTTTTTATTTTTTTACAAGCCACGATGTCTAGGAACCCATTGCAGAACTATTTACTTTCCTGTAGATTATAGAGTGTTAAAGATTGTTAAAATTTAAATTCAATGGCAGTAAACTTTAGGAACATATTTTTTAACTGTATCAAAATAACAGTAATTTGTAATATAATTACAATATCATATTAAATTACAATATAAGTTTATTAACTTACAAATGAGTTACAATATTCGCATTTTAATTTAATTTACTGAATTGAATTTCTTTCAAAATAGGGAGAGAAATATTGTGTTTAAGAAAGTGATAAAATAATTGATATTTTTTAAAAAAATTCAATAACTTACCAGGGATAGCTGAAATGAAATAGATTGGTCAAAAAAGTATGCTTTCACATCATACATCTGCATTTAAAATAATTAAGTTTAATTAATCAAATTATTTTTTTTTATAATTTTACTATTTAAGCAAAAAGTATGAGTTCAATTAATTTGTATATTCCTAAATCATTTTGAAAATTTTAGTATCTACTGTTTAAGTTTCATTTAAAAATTAAGTTGATTTTTTTATAAATTTAATTAATACGGTTTCTTATTTTTTTTTCAAATAAGATAATCAAGAAATTAAATCAATTTTTATAAAAGAGTGGGAGATGTACTTACTGTAAGAGTAGGTTGTGACTGAAAAAAATAAATGTAAAGTAATAAATAAATAAGTACTTATCCCAAATTTTTAAAGGTATAATAATATTGTGTGAATTCTATTTATTACTGACGTAATACTAATATTCTTCCATTTCTGTGAATACTGCTTTCTTATATTTTCTAAGATCTTTTGAAGCTATTCTTTTTATTCAGATCTGTGAATGCTATTTAAAAAAATTTTGTTATTTAACATCAAGTTAAACTTTTTGCAAATTGAGTTGCTTGATTAAAAATTTCATTCATTTCAAAAATACATAAAAGAAAATGGCTCTCGACATTTTTCAAAAGCCCAAAAGTACTCATACATTTGGATAAAACATTTAGATTTAAAGAACACGATAGATATGCCAGTTATCAATAATTCAAGAAAAGATCAAATGCTATGCACTGTTGGAGCCTTGGGAGTGAATTCAATTTCGGCAATGCCAAAATTATATCCACCCCAGTCATATCACCTCATCTTGATGACCTAGAATTTTGTTTTGTTTTTTTCACATGAATGCAAACTTCCCTTGCTAATGACACTAATTTCTAACCACCTCTCCATGGCCTCGAGGAAATGCATTTTACCCTGATTTGAAGTTTGTTGATATTTTTTTTCTATATTTCCACTTTTTTCTCACCCAGCTCCTTTGATTTTTCTAGTTTTGTTTTTTATTTTCATTTTTTCATATTTTGCTCCCAACTTTACGTCTCGTATTTCAAATTTATTTTTGTTTCTTCTTATTCACTTCTGGCAAGTATTGACAATGGGCTACTGTTTTTGAAACTTTATACCTATAGACTGTTAGTTCCTATTTAAATATTTTTGAATTGAATGCAGCTTTTTAGAAAATAATAACTTACCTCTTCAGTTACTTGGGATTATTCTTATTATTTGGAAATTAATGGTGTTTAATGGTTTAATTTTGCATTTTTCACTCTTAAAATCATGTAATATTTTTTATACTTTTGAAACAAAACTTCAAAGTTTTGTTTACAAATTTTGTTGCTCCGAAACTGTGTTACTTTGTGTTAGTGTTTTGTATGCTGAGAAAAAATTGCTTGTGTAAAACTTCATTGGATATTAGCTTTGATGACGGAAGTTTAAACTGTTTTATAATAAAAATGAAAAAGTTACAAAATTGGAGAAAGTTTTAAGTTACATATGAAAAAGATATTTTACACACAGAAATTTTTTTATGCTCAAACGGTACAAAAGAAAATATTATTCTTATAATTTGTTAATCCAAACTACCAATTTTTAAAATTATATTAATTTGTAAGTAAATTCTTTTTGCAATTTCGGTATTAACAAACAAAACATATCAGTAATGGTATTAATCAATTAAAAAAATTGTTTGGTATTCTTAACATATACATTTTATTTTTAAACAGTAATTTACTAACCTATTCCTTTATTTTTTCAAATGCTAACAAGCTAGTCTTAGAGTTATTAAACATTTTCTAATGTATCCTTCAATTATACAGAGGACGAAATGAAATTGCAATTTCTGATTTTAAAATTAATATATACCGTTGACATTTTGAATCGAAACCTAGGCTTAGTTTCTATAGCTAGACACTTTTTTTAATAAATACTCCTGGTTACATGGAATATATTTAAATTGCATTTATTATCAAGAGAACATTTGACAAAATCAATTTGCAGATGTTGCTGTAAATTGTTGTTCTTTGATTATATANTCTATATTTATATATATATATATATATATATATATTGTATTTTTAAGAGAATACACATACCAGTAGCTAAAAAAGAAATTAAACAATGTATATCAAATAAAAATATTAAATTATAATTTTTATGGAATAAATAGAAATTGCAATAAAACTAAAAATAGGGAGAAATCCCTTTTGTATAACAGAGATTATAAAACATACCTGGCAATTGAACAGCTGAAAAATATAGATATATTTCATTAATTTATCTGAATACTATCAGAGTGTAATTATTTTTTTTACTTAAAAATGATTAACAATAAGGGTTGAAACAAAACTTCCACGCAAAATTATCTTTTTTAAATTTGATATTACTTTACAACATTATTAAAAGTTATTAAAAGACTTTTTAAGTAAGAATTATTAAAAGATTAAGTAAGTAAAAATTATCTAAGACAAGAAAAGTGGAAATGTACTTACTTCCTCCTCCTTGTTCTAAATAGGAAGAATAATTTCGTAAACAAACTTGTATTTTCATTATATAATAAACTAAAACAACATCCCTAAGTGGTAAACATCTACAATAACTTGTTTAAAAGTTTTCTACAATACGGTATTGAAAAAAAACTGTGAATATATTGACAATAATGCAGCATAGAAGGTGCATTTTGAATTTTTTAAGTATAATAACCAAACTGAACTGGTATTCAGGAAATACTGGCTATTTTCTTCAACGCGTTAAAAACAATAAATACCTTTTGCTTATTTTAAAAGTGCTTAGAAGGGTACAAAGATTGTTTTCATGACATCTAAACTGTTTAGCTTATAATATTTTAAAAACAGTTGAATTTTGTTTATGCTTTATATTTTTCAATAAACTTGAGGTATTTGTTATACTATAGGCAGAAGTGATTTACTTAACAAAGGGATGAAATAAGCCCAACTTCTGAAATTTATACAACGAAAAATATTTATATTGAAATAAATGGGCTAAAATCAATGCATATAAAGTTAAATATCTCTTTGAAACTTTGAATAATAATGAATAATTTACTGTGCTTATATTCAAAATTCCTGTTATTTTCTATGTATGTTTACCTTGTTAAACAGCAATAAAAATTTTATCTCGGTTTATAAGTTTTTTTGTTCAATAAAAATAGTAATGCACTTTTATTCTCTCATAAATAAAATAGATAACAATTCCCAAATGACTGTATTATTTAAAATAATTTTTAAATGGTATTAAAAAAATTTTTTTTAAATAATTAAATGATATTTATGCAAAGTAAGTTATTTGATCCACATATAGTAAACAAATTCTTCTATGCGTAATGTAAATCATAGATCAGATGGCTATAGACGAGAGATGCCAGTTTATATATATCCGATGTTATTTTAATATATTGAAACAGATGCAGTTACAGGAATCAGTTTACCTTTTTTCTTATTAATTTTACTTATTTATACTAATGTTTATTCTATTTAATAGTCATTTTTTGTGAATTAAGTATTTTGTTGTTTTTCAATGCTGGAGTTTTTTTTCCGATTAGCTGGACAATTAAGACTACTAGATAGTTTCATCTTTATTTCAGAATGAAAAATCAAAAGAATATAATGGAGGAATGAAACAATAAATTTGGTGCTATAAATATCTCAGCTATTAAACATATCATCTTCAATTTCCGAAAAGATGGCTACTTTAGTTCCTTATAAGCACATCAGTTATCTTAGGGTCTTTGAAAAATTTAAAAATTAGTAAAAAAGTTAGAAAATAAGGTGTATTTTAGTAAATTTGTATGCAGGACAGTAGTATTTTGAAACATCTTGGTTTTGTTAATAATTTTCATTTCATTTGGTTTTGTTTGTTTCCTTAGTTTTATGATGAATTAAAAAACATCATTAGCTTTTTTATTACAATATTAAAACTTTTCAAAATTTTTTAGCAAAATCCTGCTTATTATATTTCAAATCCAGAAACCTCACAAATTATTTGATGGAATATATGTATATATATATTAAAAATTTATTTTATTTCATTTCCGGTTGTATATATAAATGATAAAGTTCATAGATAATACTTACGGAGTGCCACTAAAAAGATAAAATATCATTATTTGAAAAATGAATCTTACAAAGCTATGAAAAGTATATCAAGTCAAGTAAAAAATATGTCAAAAATATCTTATAATCAAAATATTTTTGCAGAAATATATTTATTAAAAAACGACTCCTTAACTAACTGTTGTTTGGTCATTCCAAAATTAAAATCATACTTTATGATATGTTGAATTTTCCACGTAAGTTGTCTATTTCAATTCATTAATAATTTTCGAACGGCAAAGTTTCGATTATTTAGCTTTTGCTTTCATGAATTTAACTGGAAATAATAATTTTTAATAATCACTGGAATAAATAATTTTTAATAATCACTGGAATAAATCATTTTTAAATTTTCATTGCGACATCTTAAACTTTCTCTTCCTAAAGTACAGATTAATTTTGTTGTCGTAAAAAAGGTTAATATTTTCTGCATCATAAAAAAAAAAACTTCCATCGATTTTTTTTTCAAATCCGTAGTATGCTCTAAAAATATATTTTTAATACTCTGATTATTCAATTGTACTTGTACGTCTGTATGCACTTTGTCATTATATTGTTTTATAAATAAACCGAGTGTTTCCAGATTCATGAGCGTTGTACTGTACTGTAATGATTAGTAAAAAGTTTATCATTTATTTTATAGATATTTAAATGCTACAGGACTTTGTACTACATAATTCACAGAAAAAGGTGCAAATTCTGCATAAAGAAAATATATTCTGAAATTGTCATAGCATGCAATTGTAAATAAGATTGTCTTATTTCATGTTTCATACATTTCTTAACTGGCATATTGTCAATTATTTTTCATCTTTCTACAATGTTAAAAAATATTGAGTTAAATATTTAATTTTATTAACTTTTAATCAATTATTCTGTTCTTTTGATTTATGCTATAGTTTCATTAGATCAACTTTTTCTAAAAAAATTATAAAGCAATATTACTAGAAAACAAAAATTATATTGTTTTCTAAAACAAAAACCATTTTTTAACCTCCGTAGTGATACATTAAAAAAGCAATCAATTTAAGAAATATCCAAAAACTAGGTACGGAATGTCGTTTATAATTCCACAAAGTGTTTTATTATAGTACCCTTTGTTTACTCTAAACATTAAATCAAAATAATCTAGTCAAATATCATAGTCTGTTTCACTTACTTTTTATTTGTTGAATTTGGTCACCTAAACAATATCAAAATTGCTATTAGAAACATGTTATTCTAAACTTATAATGTAAATAAAAAATAGGGTGTTTAATATTATTTAGGAATACTGATGCACTAATATACTGACAAAATATTTATATCATTAAGCTCCTAATTAGATTCTAAATTGTTGGAATTTAGATTTTTTTTTAAAAATACATTATTTTCAAAACTAAATTTATTTTCAATTATTGTTTTAATAAAAGCATATGAAGTTCGCATAATTTTAGCAGAAGAAACAAAATAAAAAATTTGATTAATAGGAAGAAAAATTCTTACTTGTAAATTGATCCAATACGCTCTCTGAAACAGTAAAAAAGTATTGCAATTTTATTCATGACACAAAACTTAATATTTATAGATTTTAAAAAGAATTTTTTCTCTGAAATTTTTTAAATGCTCATTTAACAAGAGTTTCTCATTTGATTCAGTTCTTTAATGTTGACCTATTTGTAGTTTAGGAAATAATTTGATTATTTAATTAATTATCTATTATACCTCTAATCATATTCTGATAAAACAAATTACATTATTATTATCATTATTTTTATATAGCGTGGTAGACTTCTTACTTTTTTATTTATTATATAGCATCATTTGTTTTCATCTTTTAAATTAAATTTTTATTATCCCATTCAGAAAAGGTATAATAGTTCCTATTGATTTACACTGGTCACTTGCACATTTGGTATTACCAAACGTCTTTATTGTTATATTCTCATATTAATTTCGAGATAGTTTCTCATTTTAAGAATCATTCTCTTAATGTAGAACAAGGAATTTGTTCTTTTTCATTAAAACAACGCTTTTAACTCTTTTTTTATCATGACTAAAACCATTGCAATAAGCAAGCGTATATATTTGTTTCTGAATTATGTGCTTTTTTACAGAAATATACATAGTATTTTATTCAAAAATACGAAATACTATAACAAAATTGTTAATAATGTAAATTCCGGCAATAATCTAGAATCACCTGTGTTTATTCTTTACCTGTGATATGCGTGGTATTTGTTAGACCCTAGAAACCCTAAATTTAGGTAAGTGCATGTAATTTATATGCAATGTTTGAAACGATATAAAGGTTTAAATTATTCACGATATTTTTAAATGCAAACTATCAATTATTTTTGAAGGAATTTAAGAAAACACATAAAGTTTACAGATTGTATGACTGAAGAAAAGAGGTTACTTACGTGGAATTTCACTGAATTCTGAAAATTTTTTATTTATAATAGATTAGATATTGTAAGCATTAAAACAAATTTAAAATCAATTAGGATTTAAATTAGGATAATAATCTAAGTTTTTGAGAGTATTTCAATCTCATTTTTGTTTTTATATATTTTATAAAAACTAAACTTACTTGAAAATTCTAAAAAAAATATATAATTTAATTTGTTTTATATCAAAGTCAAAACATTTAAACAAACATGCATAAAGGAATGATCAGTTACATGGTTAACATATTGCTCTTTTTGATGCTTTGTAGTTTTCTCTATTATGTTTACAATACGATTAATAAACCGGTTTCAAAGCATTTAATCTAGTTGTGGTTGGGTTTTTTCTGATAAACCTGCATAGTTAGAAATCTTACGATATTTTTAGATCATTTAAACAGGTATAAAATTTAATTGTTCTTATAATTTATTGCAAAGTTTTTTTGAGAATTTTATAGGTTCTAAATTCTGTCTAAGAAAGAAACTCTATCTCTTCTATATGTAAAAAAAATACCGGAAAGTATCGGTACATTTAATATTTGTTATCAATATTTTATTTTTAATGAATACTGTATCCACCCTCGCAACAACCTTTCAACGTCGTTTAATTAATGGATCGAAGAAAATTAATTGGTTCTTAACACTAACGAATATTTAATGCACCAAAAGGACATTACTTTCCGGTGCCCCAAATATACATACATCTAGATATTATTTAGATATTCCTAATGAAAAAATAATTAATACGAATAATTACGACAAAACTCTTTAAATCATTTTTTCTAATTAGTCATAAGAATGATGATTATTGCTATTAGATTTAAAATTATCAATAGGTTGGTACGTTAAACTAAACACACTCTTGGCATTCCTGGCGAATTCGTAATAAAGTATTTTTCTTTAATTTTCTTATAAATTTTAAGTACAGATTCTTTAGACAGGATTATACTGTTATTAGTTTTAAATTTACTAAAACAAATGATACATTTATGTTATAAGTCTTTAGTCAAATACTCTCAGTTTATGCTTAGCTGCATTCTGAAAGGATGAAAGAAGTAGAATTTTATAGAACAAAATATGCTCAAAGCAGACAAGAAATTGAATAAAAAAAATATAAAAAATTTCTTAAGCGGAAATTAAATACTTACTATTATTTTTTTAGAATATAAACATTACTTCAGATTCATAGATGTTATTTAAGAAATAGTGTAAAGATCAATTATAGTAGCCTGGTTTTTAAAAGCATTTTACATTTTTCGAGAGGTATTTCTGAGCTTGGAACGTTAAATAAGTATCGTATCTCTCTGATAACTTATTAAGAGGCACTTTAAATCTCTTAAAAGATGAGTCAATATCTAGTTAACTTTTTTACAATTTTCATAACATTTACTGCCCCGTATCAAGTTTCAGTGTCAGAAAAAAACATATTTTAAAACATATAGTTTATTTGGTTTTTCGATAAAGTTTGGTGACAAAAATTGTAGAACAATGCATAATTCTATATTATTTAATTAATAAATTTAAGTTAACGAGGAAAAATAAGAAAAAATACTTACGCAATGTCTCTATAAGAAAATATGTATAATAAATACATTTTAGCTTACATAACATCATTTATTTGTGTCATATTTTTAGTAGTACATAAATAATTATAAAATTATGCATTTACATTAAATATAAATGAAATTTCTGTTCACACAAGCATTTTCTCTTAAAATAATTAAAAAGGAAACATTACACAAGAAATATTATACACTTTTGAAATTGAAGAATTGCATACGAAATTTAAACTCATTAAACTATCTTTACGAAATATACAATATTTGTAACATTAAGAATAACAATATCATTTTCGTTCATTTAGAATTCCTTTATAATTTTACCTAGATTTTCAAATTCAATGAGGAATAAATATATATTTTTTCCGTAAAAATCTAGTTTTGAAAAAAGAGAGTTATGATAAAAATTGCATTTCTTTTCAAACACTTTTAATATTCACTTTTCATTTCTAATTTTTTCCTTATTCCGTGAAGAAATTGAAATGCGCTTTTTCTCACTCTACAAAAAACTAAAAAAAATTTTTAGAGGTACGCTTCCCTTTTTACAATAAATTATATGAAAAAGTAGCGAAACTTAAAGTTTTTAGAGGCTCAATTGAGGTCACTACATATCGCCGACACAATAAAGCTGAAATAATTAAATTTTTTTCTAGTACTTAGTATTTTTTGATCTTCAGGTGGTTTTATTTTATTAGAACAAGCAAAACAAATTTTTGAAGTTTTATCTCACGAATATTGATTGACTACACTCAGTATTATTTGGCAAAATTTACCACAGTCAAGCAATTTTCTTTTTTATTTATTTTTTGGAGGGCTGTAAAAAGTTATTTTTTCAGTATCTATTTTAAGATTGTACTGAATCGATTCAGTTTTGATAAATACTACGTGTGCTAAAATAATGCTTTGCACGTGTATTAGTATATTTAGCACCAATTTAAACTGCCTCTATTACTATAATGCACATGTACTAGTGCAATTTATCAAACATAATTAAGCATCATTGGTGACAAAAATAGCATAGCGATTTTCTAACAATTCTCCTATACGAATAAGTATCATTCTCAATAATTTTTTTGTACTTAGCTTATTTTCTCATTTCAATTAATAGTTAATACCAAAATTAATTAAACCCCATAGGCTTCAAATATAATATGGTAATTGTTTTAAGTTTTTTTTGAATTTTTATAACCTTTCCTACATTAAGTTTGCTATTTAGTACCAAGTTTATTTTTATATCAATTATTATTTATTACCAAAATTAATTAAGTGTAATGAAATCACCAATTTAAATCCCCGTTTTTTCCCTTTATAATCTGCCTTAAATCCCCCATATTTCTACTTTCATTTTAATGTTCTGTACATAACTTTTTTCGCATTAGATTTCCGTTTCTTTTCAGTTATTTAGTTTTATAGAAACACATTTTTGAACCGTAACTGTAAAAAAATATACACGTGTTGTCAGATAAATTTAGAAATACTACTATGACGATGTTGTCTGCCTATACAACTATTTGTCATTTTGTTTACCTGGCATAAATATATATATATATATATATATATAAAAGTTCTAAATAAAGATAAACAAGGTACATATACAGTACG